ATTAACATGAGATAAATAGAAAAAAATAAAGAATATAATAAGCACATTTACCTGCCACCCAGCTTTAACAAATCTTAACATTTTAAAAACTTAACACGTTATAGACATAACTGAAGCCTCCTGTACCCATCCCCAACCCCATTTCTGTGCCACCCTTTTAATGAGGCGGTATTACCATCGACCCCATGCTCGTCATTCCCACCACCTCACGTGGACACAGGAGTAAACGATACGTGCTATTGTTCTGCATGTTTTTCAACTTTACTTAGATTGGCTCGTACTGCACTTAATTCTGCAACTTGCTTTTTCCTTTCAGCATTAAGTTTTTGGGATTTTAATCAACGTGGAAGCACTTGGCTTTAGGAAGTTCATTCATTTTAACAAAGGAGGAAAAGCATTAAGAACTAAAAACACGACTTTCAAAATATTGTATGTCAACTATACTTCAATAAAAATAAAGAAAATAAAAACACTGCTTTGTATGTGATCTTTTGTAAATTACAAGGGTAATTCACAGTTAACCTTTCTGTCCTACCACTGTTAATATTGAAATGAAAAGAAACTCAGAGTAAAATAAACTCAAAGAAAAGGTAAAGGACATTTGTACATAAAATTAGACAACTTGGGAAATCTTCCATACCTACAGAGATGTAATGAAAGGGTTTTGACTATCTTCATAATTTTATTTGTGCATTATCAAAATTTCTTGAAATTACCCACATCAAGTATTGTTAGACTCTGCCACCACCTAGAACATCTTTGCTAACTTCTGGAACAATCATATGCATCAACCACAAGCAGCTGAAACGTCAGAAAGAGCTGCAGAAACTAGGACTTGAGATGAAAGAACTCAGACTTTTACTGTATTGAAGTTCGACACAGGGCTACTCAGAACAGAGCCCATGCTAACTCCTAAGTGTTGTCCCACGCACGGGGGAATCAAGGGCATTTTGATGGTGTTACTAATGAAAAGTTCTTGACATAATTAATCGGAAGTTGTGTCATTTTAAAACCCTGTATTTAAAATAATTTAATATAGTATGTAGCACAGAGGAGAGTAAATTTTCCATTGCTAAAACGTTGTTTAGCAATGAGATATCCCAAAGGCCAGTCCTCTAATAAAAGGGGACAGAAGCAGGCGGAAGGCATAAACCTAACCGCCTGTGGAGGAGCTGGGCAGGCCCTGGGTGTGGAAGACCCATGCAGAGAGCCGGGACTGAGAAGGGCAGCTCACTCCACACCTACCCAACGTCTCATTGCTGCATTTCTGTCTGGGTCTTCACTCAAGCTGGTATTTCTTAGACAATAAAGTGAAAAATAAAGAAAAATGAAACAAAAAGAAAAGGTTGCCCAGATCAGAGTTTTCCATTCTGGAAATAAGAACACAGCTGCTTATTTTTTTCCTTCTTGTCTTTGACAAGGTGTTATGGAAAGAGTGTAGGCCTTGGAATCTGACGGCTCTCAGTATGAATCCCAGCTCTATCATCATTTACTAGACACATTGCCTTGGGCAAGGTAGTCGACTTTTTGAGCCTCTTCAGCTGAAAACTGGGCTCCCACTCAGGGTTACTGTGCTGGAGACATGACAGATCAAGCACAGAACCTGGTACATGTTTACTCCTATATATAGTAGATATCAGTATTCCTGGCCCATCTATTTTCTCCTTCCCAATTTCTTATTAATTAAAATGTTCCAAATTCTATTATTCTATAATCATCTTTGATTGAATATAACACTATTTCAGGCCTCTGGTTGTAAAAAGTCCTTAGCCTCAAAGTATTTGCAGTCTAGAGAATCATTTAAAAAAAACATTACTACAAAACACTGGTTGTTATTCATTCATTCATTCATTGTTTTGTTGAACCTTAGCTGTAAGCGAGGCACTGTCCTAAACTCAAGAACCCAAGGGGCAACGTGAAAGTGCCCAGCCCCTCCCCTAGCTGCTGCTCACTCTGGGCCCTCATTCTCTCACACACGTACACACATGCCATGGAAGATTCGTAGCTCTTTATCCACTTTCAATATCTACCTACTTCCTACCTATTTCTTTCTTTCAAACACTCGCATCTATCTTTTCACCAACAGACATCACTATTATCCTCAAAAAACTGTAGAGATAATAAAACCAAAATTAAAGGACTTGGGTTCTAGCTCTGCTTCTGTGTGACCCTGGTGAGTCTCTTGACCTCTTGGAATGTTAGGTCAAAAGGAACAACAAAAAGAAAAAACACAACACACTAATAGTAATTATGACTCTTAAACCCCTGCAATACCTGATTTCTTCTAAAAAGCACATCTTTGACATCCATTGATATAATTATTTTTACAACATGTAGAGAAGCAAGTTACTAAAACCACCATTTAATTGTATGCAGAAATGGGAATAAAACGCCATCTATTTTATGGAGGAGAAAACATTCCAAGAGGTTAAGAGACTCAGCAGGGTCACAAAGAAGCAGAGCTAGAACCCAAGTCCTTTAAAAAAGGAAACAAGCCCAAAATGGAGTCACTTGCCTCACGACAGCAAAACAAGACTTCATATCTAACCTAATTGCAGTTTCAGCCTGTCCCGGGAATGTGACGTTTAACCAGTTAATCTGGAATCACCTGGGCAGCACTAGAGTGGTGATCCACATCATAGACCCTTGTGCTCCCCCCAGTGGAAGGTAACGTTGTCTGAAACAATCCACTGTTTGTTAGAAACTTCCTTTTTCTGCCCCCTTCTGCCTATAAAAGCCTTCCATTTTGTACAGCTCCTGGGAGCTCTTTTCAATTTGCTAAATGGGATGCTGCCCAGTTCATGAATCGTTGAATAAAGCCAATTAGATCTTCAAATTTACTCAGTTGAATTTTGTTTTTTAACAACCTTAAGTGTTGTTAGATGATTTTTTTCTCTTACTGTACCACCCTTTTCATCTCACCCTTTTAAATGCCGGCATGGAGGACCCTTAATTTCTTAGAGATATACTTTATAATGATGATAGTGAGACAGACTGAGCCAGAAATATGAAATTCAACTAACCTGCAAGGAGGATTACATATTTTATGATTAAGGCATCTGCTTACAGTTTGAAATTTCTCAAATGCTCATAAAATAGGGCAAAATTCTATTAGGAAAACTAACAATTTCCTTATCTATAAAATGGGGCCAATACTCCCTAGCATAGGATCCTTGTGAAAATTAACTACCACAGCACATGGTGAGTGTTTCACAGCATACCTGGCTGCACTATTACTCAAAGGAAATCATTTGCAGTCAGCAGGCTTGTCATATTGCTTGCGGTTTTTTTTTTTTTTAAAGATTGGCACCTGAGCTAACATCTTTCGCCAATCTCATTTTCCTTCTTTTTCTTCTCCCCAAAGCACCCTAGTACATGGTTGTATATTCTAGTTGTAGGTCCTTCTAGTTGTGGCATGTGGGACATCACCTTAGCATGGCTTGATGAGCGGTGCCATGTTCACGCCGAGGATCCAAACGGGCGAAATCCTGGGCCGTCAAAGTGGAATACGCAAACTTAACCACCTGGCTACGGGGCCGTGCCCTGCTTGTGTTTTTTAATTAAACGATACTTAAACAGGTTTTTCTATCTATCAATTATAAACTTTAAAAAATTATTTAGAGTACTCCTTGGTTTAATATTTGGTTTTACTTTTCACCTATGAAAGACTGCCAACCATACTTTACAAATCCAGAAAATACAGAGTTGAAAATTCATCCTCAGTGATCTTTTCCATGCTACGCTTGAATCCATCTAGTTTAAATGAAAATTAAAGGAATATGAAAAATGTTAGAAATACATTTTAACACAGAAGGAACAGACCAATTCACAAAGCCAGAGCAAAGCCACATTATGAGAGGAAAGCAGAAGTAAAATTAAATAAGAATTTCAGGCAAGAAATAAAAACTTGGAAAAACCACTAATTAAAAATGTGCTGCTGTTGATCAAGAATGACTCACGTAAACATTTATTATTCTTAACCCAGAAAAAAATTAAAAAATTAAAACTGGCCAAAGAAAAGTCTCTTCCTGGCTCGGTGACTTTGTCAGGTGACTTCACTGGTCTGGATCTCAGTGTCCACTTCTGATAAGAGGGGGTGGAGGAGGAGGAGTTGAACAGAAAATTCCAACCCACTGCCCCCAGCTCCTGCGATGAAAAGATTGGATGGAATGGGGCAGGCTGCTCGCCAGTGTTGGCGGGGGGCAGGCTCGGTGGGATTTGCTGCCCCTAACCAGACACTCGCGGGGCGTCCCAGCGGCTTCAGTGGGAATCACAAGCCATTTCCACTAGCTGCGCACAAACAGTCCAAAGGTTAGCCTTCAGATGGTTCAATCATCAATCTCAGCGACCGGGGAAGGTGCATAAGTCCCCAAGATGTGTTAACAGAGTTTTGTAATTTTTTCCTTTGAAGATTATTCTAGGTAGGGGCCACGGGGGAAAAAAGTCAAAAAAATAAAACCCTACACATTTCTTTCCAAAAGTAAGAAGGCACCCCTGATGGCAAAGCAGGAGGAGGGCCGGGCGCAAAGAGCTCTGGGAAGCCCACAGCTTGGGGAGCCGCGGAGGAGCAACCCCGTCGCCCGGCGGGGCGCTGCGGCCGCCTTCCAGGGCCGCCTTCACCATAGGGAAATCGAGGGGCGGGCGCGGGACGCCCCGCGCTGAACAGCCGGGGCTGGGCGCTCAAGACCAGCACGTCAAACTACCCTGCAGCTCTACGGCTGAAGAACTTGCAGCCCCTGGAGGGACGGGATTCGGGCGAGAGTCCGAAATTCACTGGTTCTCCGGCAGGACAAGAGCGCAGCCAAAATCAGCTCGGTTCCCTAGGGACGAGCGGCGAGGAGGACCGTTGCCTGAACAACTATGGGGACTTTTCCAACTACTTACTTGGTTCTAGAGTGGGGAATCAAAATCTGCGAGGCTTCTCCGGATTCTACAGAAAAGAGGGGCGGGCCTGGCCCGCTTCACCGTTTGCTGGCTCCGCCCCGCCCCGCCCCCAGAAGACGACGGGAGACTCTCCCGAGTTCGGAACGACGAGTAAGTTTGGACCTTTTCGGCCACCACTCCCTTCAATATGGCTGCCCCCAGGGAAAGGCGAGAGAGAACGTGAAAGCACAGACTCTATATCCCTCATCGCATGGATCGTAGCGCAGAGTTCAGGAGATGGAAGGCGCAGTGTCTGAGCAAAGCGGACCTCAGCCGGAAGGGCAGTGTGGACGAGGATGTGGTAGAGCTTGTGCAGCTCCTGAATGGGCGAGAAGAGTTTTTCACTACCAGTTCCTGTGCTGGCCGCATCATCCTCCTGGACGGGGTGAGGCCCCTTTGTCCCCTGCCCGCACCTGGCCTGTAGCGTACAACACCAGGAGCCCTGTGCCCACCCAGTGCAACACCCCCTCAGTCCAGCCTTCCCGTGGGTGGTCTCGGATTCTTTATCTTTGAAACTTAGAGGGCGAATTGGATCCGTGATTCTAAAACTTTAATGTGTCTATTAATCACCTGGGGAGTCTTAAAATACAGATTCTGATTCTGTAGGTCTGGGGTGGAGTCTGATACTTTTCATTTCTAACAAGCCCTCAAGTGATGCCTAAATTGCTGGCCTGGGAATGATCTTGAGTTGCAAGGGTTAGAGAATTTGATTTTCTGAATGCTAAGGAAACAAAGACTTCCCAGCCTGGAGAAGCTGGAGTGTCCTCTTCAACCGCTCTATCAGGTCATCCTAACTTCATACTTGATTGAACGTCGCCAGGGTTAAGGAGTTCACTGCCTCCTAGTGGCCCACTCCATCATTACAGTTTCGGTAATTCTCACATTACGTTGAGTACAATAGTACTATGTAGTCTGAGAGAGTGGCGGACCCCTCAGGCTTTGGAGTGATATTACTTAGATTCTAAACCAGTTATGGGAATTATTGGCGTGTGACTTTAGGAAAGTTATCTACACTCAGCCCCTTCCTGTTCCATGAACTGAGGATAATAAAGAGTGTCTGCTTCGTGGGAATTTTGTGTAGAAGAAATGGGATAATTTGTTTGAAACATTTAGCATCGTGCCTGGCCCATATGAAGTGCAGTGTAAAAGTTAGCTTTGTGTTAATTTTAGTATTTCGATTGAGTCCAGAGCATGAAAAACAGCACACTCAGACTCATTCTTTAGATCCCTCACTGATCATCTTCCAGTCTCCCAGGTTAGCAGGGCCTGTTCATTTTTATTTTGCTTCCATTGCCTCCTGAGCACTGGCACTCTTGCTTGGCTTGCTCTCTCTCTTCCCCGTTTCTGCTGTCCTATCTTACCTGGATTTCTGTGGTGGCTTCCTAACAGGTCACTGAACTACCAGTCTTCCTACCCCAAATCTTGTTACACACTGTTAACATATTCACCTTTCTAAACCACAGCTCTGTGCTGCATGTCACTTATCTATGCTGAAATCTTTTATTACACATTTTTCATCATCAGAAAATCCAAATCCCTACTCTGGTATATCTTTCAACCCTATTATCTGCTATTTCTCTTCATTTTTATCTATTTACTGAAACTAAACTATTCTTTTTTTCATCTTATATTACCTCCCTTTGATCATGTTTGTCTTTCCTGAAATGTTTTCCCTATCTCTGCATATCTGAGACATGGCTCCCTAAATTCCCGTCTCCCACCTGAACACAGACACACACATCCACTTGGAAGGAATGAATGCTTCTTCTGAACTGCCTTAGGACTTTTTCTGAACCTCTTTTCATTTTATGTATCTCATACCTTGTATTGTATTTATTTTCACTTTGCGTTATTTCAGGAAGGATTTGGAGCAACTTACAAAAGGACAGTACAAGAAGAAAAATAAAAAGTGGGAAAGTCTGGATAAAGGGAGTATAGATAAGATAAAGCCAGTCATGATGTCGCTTCTCAAAACATGCCATGAGATTCTGTAAATTTGCTAAAGGTGGGACACACATTTGGCTCTAAGATTTAGAGTGGTCAGCATCAGATCAGATACATAAGTCACTGGGGTCATTCTGTTAAAACAAACCGGTTATTTAAGACAAGCACAGCTCTTCCCCATTCCAAGTCCAGAGAGAAAAATTTCCTGTAGACTCACTGTATAAATAGTTACTTTGTAGAAGTACAGTGATTTAAAAGTCATGTGCATTCCTGCATCCTCTTTCTAGTGTCCTTGAGGGTAAGATCTGTTTATACCCAAAGTACCTAATAGAACTTTGCAAACAAACATTTTTCTAGCTAATAAGCAAAAAATTTAGTGTTAAAATATTTACTTTCTTTAAACTTTTCCCTTTCAGTCCCAGTTCTGCCCTTTGTGACTACATATAAAGTCTAATCCAGAGGTCACAAATTTCTACTGTAAAGATCAGGATGTCTTAAAGGATGGGAACGTTGGAGGTGTCAGTAAAAAGTGGTGGGTCTTGAGCCAGCCCTGATGGCTTAGCATTTAAAGTTGGGTGCACTCTGCTTTGGCAGCCCAGGTTCAGTTCCTGGCTGTACAACCACACCACTCGTCTGTCAGTAGCCATGCTGTGGCAGCGGCTCGCATAGAAGAACCAGAAGAGCTTACAACTATACACAACTGTGTACTAGGGCTTTAGGGGGAGAAAAAGAAGAAAAAAAAGGAGGAAGACTGGTAACAGATGTTAGCTTAGGGCAAATCTTCCCCTGCAAAAATAAAGTAGTGGGTCCTGTGCAGGATTGGGACAGTGCTTTCTTACAAAAGGAATTCAAATTCTTTTTTCTTTTTCTTTTTTAATATTGTGCTAGCCAAATAAAACAGCTAGAGTACAACTCAAGGATTGCTAGTTTACAACCCTTGTAACAATCCCTTTTCTCCTGACAAAAGCCTGACCATATTTCAGAAAATATTTATTAAGTACTTTGACCCTAATAAACAAATTATTTTCTTTCTATCTCAAGTGATTTGTTTTCATTTTTGTTTGGGGTTAACTTTACCCAAAAGCCCATTGAATTGTTCTCAGTAATACTTAAAATCACCACTTGGGACCATTAATTTAACAAAGCCTACAAAATGCTATGCATTGTACTTATTATTTTTGTAAATATTATATGATTAAGTTATATCATTTTTTTATTTTAGGGTATAGATGGTTTTGAGGTTCAGAAACAAAACTGTTGCTGGCTACTGGTTACACACAAACCTTGTGTAAAAGATGATGTGGTAAGTTTTTATGTATAAATTTAGAAACAAACTTTTTAATTTTCAGTCACTTTAAATATATATGAAAAGAATAGAAAATTCAGGGTGACTTATGTGCATAATTATAATAACTGAAGATTATAAAGCCCAAAGAGCATTCATTACAATGGCTTATTTGAGTTGTAGGAGGTAAAAGTATAAACATGTATGCAAACATTACTTACGGCTGCTCAGCAGGACTATCCTCTTGGACATAGGAGAGAGTTCATGGACGTTGGACACATGTCGAATACAGATTCTGATTTCAGTCCTGCCATGTGATAACCCTGTAACCTGGAAAAAATTATAGAAGGAGAAGGGAGCTAGGAGAAAGGGATTAGTACTATCTATGTATTACCAGCATACTGATGTAAATAAATTATACATTACTTACCTGGATTGCTTCTTGAACATCTTCCTATCTGTGCTGGATTATTTAGTTTCCTAAATTAAAATGTTTAGATGAGTTCATAGAAGTTTGTATTAGTGAGGGGCTTTACATTCCTGGTGAATTTAGAAATCCAATTCTAAATGTCTTAAGTAAAACAGATAGTTGATTTAACTGGAAAGGACAGGAGTAGACCTGGCCTCGGGCCTTCCTGGTTCAGGTGCTGACATGCTGCCTCCCCAGTGCTCGCTGTGTCTCCACCTCTGGGTCCTGGTACTCTCTGCATGTTTGCTCTTGTTCTCTTCTGCTGCAGGTGATCTTTCTGACAGGAAAGATAGCTGCCAGCAACCCCAACAGAAAAAGTCTCTTCTTCCTAAGATCCGTGTGTCATTCCCAGAGAAGGGCCCTGAGTCATCCTGCTTGGGTTAGGTGTTCTCCCTCTGGCCTTGATCAGACTGAGGCACTTGGCGTCTCTGATACTACGATGGCAGGACTGATGAGTGGCCGGGTCATGATTGACAGCCCCACCAGCATCAAATGGTGGGAAGGAAGGAGGATGCTCCCAGGGATACTAGGGAGACAGAAATTACAACTGCCTTGTATAAATTCCAGCTCAGACATAATAGTACGTGTGTCTTAAACCTCAGTCTAACAACAGAACATTTAAACAGACCTTCGAGTACAGTCTTTACATACCATATTGCCTAATGAGAAATCTGTTATGGAACTAAATAGAGTAGTAGTAGTTTACTTTTTCAAGGTATGGTTGGAAAGAATGACACAGAAGGTTTATGGGAGAATTAGAAATCAAGTCTTTTCAAAAAATAAGCAGATTAATAAGTTTTTGGAGAGAGAAGGACCAAGAAAGCAGAGTGAACAGTCATTGTGGGAAAAGGCTGCTGAATGAGTCTGAAAGTTTCCGGGAAAAACTGAAGTTATGTATGATAAAGGGTCATCAGGACGATCATGTATTTGTGTCTGATCCTAACGTCTTTCGTTTATTTAGATTGTAGCTCTGAAGAAGGCGAACAGTGATGCCATTTTGAAGTTTGAGCCATTTATTCTTCATGTGCAGTGTCGACAGCTGCAGGATGCACAGATTCTGGTAAAACTTTGTAATTATACTTGAATTTATAGGTATGTAGGTAGGTTTAATTTTAAGATTTAAATCTCCTACCAAAAGTTAATGCAATGTTAGTTTACTCAACTAGTTTTTTATTTAATTACACATTTGGGGTTATATGTGTTTCTGCAGTTTGTAGAGCTAAACAGTTTATCTGATTAGGCAAATTATCAGAATTTAACAAATTTGTTTTCTTACAGCATTCAGTGGCAATAGATTCTGGCTTCAGGAACTCGGGCATAACAGTAGGAAAGAGAGGAAAGACCATGTTGGTAAGAGACCTTTTGGCAATGGATAAAAATTAAACTATTAGCGGTGAGCATGATGCAGTCTACACAGAAACTGATAAATAATAACGTACACTTGCAACTTTACAATGTTATAAACCATTGTGACCTCAATAAAATAATTAAAAATAATACCTTTTGGCAAGGAGCAATCCTTTAGGCATGAAGTAGTCCAGATTATCGGATCACTTCTAACTAGGCTCCTGCCTTTAGTCTCTCCCAGTTCATATCTTCTTGCCATCCCCGTGCTCAGAAACCTTCAGTGACTTACTGTTTCCTACAGGGCAGAGTCCAGAGTTGTTAGATTCACATTTGAGGTCTTATTTTATCATATTCTCCACTTATTTATAACCTGATTCTCTGTGCCGTCCATCCTAAATAGTCAAGGCCCAATTTAATAGGCACCATGATGTGGTGGCAAGATCACAGACTGGGGGTCTAAAGTCCCCTGCACAGATACTGGTGGGACCACAGCTGTTTCATGTGGACTTGGGCAAGCTCCTTGATCTCTTAGGGTCTGAATTTTCTCAGCCATGTCAGGGGTCCAGCAAACTGGGGTCCAGCTCAAAGGGGCCAGATCCCAGTATACTCATTTGATTAATTATTGTCTAAAGTTGCTTTTGTGCTACAATGGCAAAATTGAGTAGTTGTGACAGATACTGTATGGCCTACAAAGTTGAAAATATTTATTATCTATCCTTTTACAGAAAAGGTTTGCTGAGCCCTGGGCTAGATAATCTTTAAGGTCCCTTCTACGTCCCTCACTCTCTCTCAGTCCTTTCCTGGCCAAGCTAACTCCTAGCGATTTTGCCCTGTTCTCATCTCCTGTAGTAGTTACGGTTGGGTTTACTGTTTGGCATGGTATGCATTGTTTGCTTTTGAACTATTTCAAATTGTCCTCCATTCTAGCTCCATAGACTTTGCTATTTTCTGTCTATTTTTAACAAATAGCCTATTTGCCAACAGAGGTGGCTTACAAAAGAAGACACCCATAAAGCCTGACTAAATAGAGAATGTAAGCCCACAGTACCGGTTTGTGTCCCTGTGTCACTCCCCCTGCATCTGGTGGCCAAGCGAGAGCAGAGCCATTCTTTCACCTTCCTCCTTTGTCATCCATTTTCAGTTAGTTACAAGTCCTCTCACATCTGCCTCTAATTTCTCACACCTGACCCCTCCTGCAAGCCACTGCCCCAACTTAAGCCCTCATTGTCCCTCACCTCAGTCTTGCAGGAGCCTCCTGACTGGCCTTCCTGCCATCCATCTCCTGCAGTCCTTCCCACCAATACCATGAGAATCCGCCTTTGAAAAAAGTCAGAGTTTCCAAATATTTTCCCTGATAGTCAAGGCCTTATGTAAACCATTTTGCACCTACCTTGTTTTTGCTCCTCTCTTGCTAGCATACTTATGCTCCAGCCATGTAGAAAACTATTAGTTATTTCCCAAACGTATCATGCTTTTCATGTCTCCATGACTATAGATTAGTTGTTCCTCTGGCTGGAATGCCCCCCTTCCTCCATTTTTATGTCTGGTAAAATTGAACTTATCCCTTAAAAATCCCAACTCGAATGCCACCTTTCTCATAAAGCCAAGGCCTCAGTCTCAGTTAGCTGCTCCTCTGCTACATTTCCTTAGCATTGTGTGTGTGTGTGCATGCGTGCATGCACACATGCGCACATACATGTACGTGTTTCTCCCTTCATAGCACCTCTGTTGCAATTCTTTGTTCATGTGTTTATTTCCGGTTCTAAAGTGTGGGCTTTTAAGGGCAGGGACCATGTTATATTCATCCTGTGTCTTCACACCTTATGTGGGGCTTAGGACATTGCAGATGCTCAGTGAAGGTTTCTTGAATGAATATTTATTTCTCATAATTTTTGTTGTTGTTCTTCACCTCCATCCAGTGTTTGGATTTACTCAGAACATGTTGAGTGTTTCATGGGCAGGGTTACTGAGATTGGCAATCCTAAAGCCCTGAGAAAGCCCCTGCTTCATGGGTAGAAGAGGCGTGGTTTATTCCTGTGCCCACACTCTGCTCACGCAGCAATAAGAGGGTCTTTTGCATCCAGTCCATTTTGATTTTCCCTTGAAGCTTCTGTTGAGATTTCATTTATTTCTTTTCTTTAAATAGTGTATTAAAGCTTCCTAAGCTTTAGTGAGATTGAAACTGTTAAAGTTATTGGATTCTTTGATATTATCTGCTTCTCTGAAAGACAATGTGTCGAATGACTTTCTTTAGAAATGACTTTATTTGATGGGAAATTTTATGGAATCTCCTTTGATTCAACTTTTAGCTAAATTATATCAAAGCACAAGCTTAAATGCTGTAATGGAACTGAACTATGTTTACACACAGCCCTGACTGGGACTTTTCTTTAGTTATCGTCAGTGTCTCTAGTACATAAGTCTTCATATCTAAATTGTTTGTTCTTTGTAGGCTGTCCGGAGCACACATGGCTTAGAAGTTCCATTAAGCCATAAGGGACAACTGATGGTGACAGAGGAATATATAGACTTCCTATTAAAGATAGCAAATCAAAAAATGGAGGAAAACAAGAAGAGAATTGAAAGGTATATTAATTGGATACTTCCATGATAGTCTTACATGCCTAGGTCATCTTTGAAAATATTAATACACACCATCTTCAGTTTATTTGCCCATCTGCTTTTCTACTTGTAGCCTTATTACCAATAATAAAAAGATGATCAAAGTAACAGATGAGAGTAGCCGGACCGTGATGGGCACTAAATGGAGCATAATGGGGAAGCTCCATGGAGGATAGTGGGACACATGACTCCCGGCAACAGGCATTAAGGACAGAAATGTAATCATTCAGGTAAGAGAGCCCAACAGTCACAGGGACCATACTGATCAAGTTGAAGGCAGCCGGGGAAGAGGTCCACACTGCCCCTGGGTGTGATCTACTGGAGATTACTTAGAATCTCCTTTTGAGAAGAACAGCCTGGTTAATTCTAGCCTGATAAATATTTTACACCTCTGGCTAGTTCAATACCCAGCTCTCACCATGGATGAGATCTAAATTGCCATAATTGTCCCAGTAGGAAGGATCGTGGCTGTCAGTTCGCATCTTTATACTTCTCTTGTTCTTAAACTTCACATCCTGACAGGTTAAAGTATTACATCACTTTCTTTTCCAAATTTTTCCTAAGAATAGCGTTTTTGATATAAAAAAGTGACTCTTGTGCTGCCTTTCACATATGAAGATAATGCCACTGACCTGCCATTAGCAAGATGTACACTTCCTGGTTATTCAGGGAATTATGGCAACTTGATGTCATTTATAACTTCTTTTCCCCCTTTTCCCAACCCCTTAGCCACTTCACAACCCGTCAGTCACTGCCTAAATAACTCTTGAATCCTTCTTCTCTCAATCCTCATTGCCACTTTGTTCATTCAAGACTATGGTGATAGCCTCATTAGCTGGTCTCATAGTAGGATGCTTCTAGTATGTCTCTTTGCTAAGCCATTCTCCCTTAGCACCATCAGAATCCTGTCTGTAACGTGCAAAGGAATCCTATTGCTTAACTTGCCTTCCTAAAATTCTTTAATACCTAGAACTTTTTTGAAGTAGCTAAGGCCAGAAGTGCCAGTGGTAGCAGTGTAGCATGGTGGGAAGAGGTAGACCTAGGCTCCAGAGGCCAAAGTGAGTTCAATCCAGGTTTCACCACTGCTTACTCAATTCTCTTGGCTCCATTTTTCTTATCTCTAACTTGAGGGAAATACCTATCTTAAAGAACAATTTTAGTAGACATTAAATAGCGTATGTGTAATGACTGGCCCTGCCTCTGTCATGTCATGGATTCTCAGGATAGGAAAGCCCTTCTTTTTCTTCATTAATTCATGTGAGAATAAACCTATATCACTTCACTACCGCTAGGCAGCCTCTCTCAACCAGGGCTTCTCAGTTGAATGACAGAATTCATAAAATCATTTGGATGACTATTTCTCTGTTCTCCCAACGATGGTATATAACTTGTACCATTCTAGATACTGGGGAGAAGTTACTTCATTATATACAATGGATGTCTTAGGGCGTTAGGGCTAATTTTCTAGCAGAACTCTGAGAGGTTACCTGGCCTCAAGGTGCTTTGAGTAAACATTCTAAGTAAAGTGACGATTTCCAGTAAGCAACTAAAGAGCACCTGGCCACTCACTCCACCAGACTACAGAGTTTGAACTATTTGTAGGTGCTTATTGGTACCATTCCAAAAGTTTACTACATTTGTTAGACACTATTCCAGCGAGACTGTTTGCTAAAACATAGGAGGTAGCAAATCAGTTTCTCTGTTTCCTTACTTGAATTTCAACAAGATTATAAATATAGCTGAAGATCCACTAACTATACACCTGGTGAAGTTAATTGAGCCACGTTCACCAACTATAAAATCAAATTATGCTTTAGATCCATTGACTCAAAAATGTATTTTGAGATTATAGTGTGCATGCTGCTATCAAGAGAGCCATGCTCATCATACAAAATCAGGGAAAAATTAAAGAAGGGTAAAAAGTGTCTTAAGATACTGATTAGAAGATTACATGTGAATTCAGGAAGGGTGAACAAATTAGGGAGCTCCTTTGGGAACAGCTGTACATGCAACCGAATGCAGAGAAAGTTACTCTTCTGATGTTGAAGAGGAAAAATGATAAACACTGGAGGTGATGAGTTCTGCAATCAGACGTTGAATACTAAAACTGGTTTGTCATAGGACCAAAGTTACGCAATTCAAATAGTTATAGTAAGAGAATTTTTAAAAGTCAAAATCCTAATGAGTAACTTTCAGCAACAAGAAATATTCTGGAAATGGGAAAATCAAAGTTAAAAGGTAAAATATTTTTGATAGGAAAAAGATCTTGTTTGTGAAAAACAATTCTCAAGCCTACTTCTTAGTGGAAAGAGTAAGATAATTTCATATATAATTATTTCCAGGTGAAAAATGTGAGATTTGGAGATCTGTTCACTAATCACATGACAAAGGCTATCTTTGTACCTGTTAATAAGAGACCAGGTCTCACTTGGGTCCAATGACCCCCACATTTGGCTATGAGCAGAATAAAATTAGCCATGTTCATCTTTCCACCAACTGAGTAATAAGAAAATAAATGTTAAATAAACTATAGAATAAAAGGGCTGAATATATTGACCTATAATATTGTTGATAAAAATAAAGGAAATCGGAAAGAAAATGAATCTACTTCCAATCGGTTGTTTTGTGTGTGTGTGGTAAAACATTCATAACATAAAATTTACCATTTTAACCATTTTTAAGTGTACAGTTCAGTGGCCTTAAGTACATTCACCATCACCACTATCCATCTCTAGAACCTTTTCATCATCCCAAACCGAAACTCTGTACCCCTTCAACAATTCCCCAAAATCCTAACTCCTGGTAACCTCTCTTCTGTTTTCTGTCACTATGAATTTGACTATTCTAGGTACCTCATATAAGTGGAATCATACAATATTTGTCCTTTTGTGTCTGGCTTATTTCACTTAGCATGGTGTCTTCAAGGTTCATCCATGTTGTAGCATGTATCAGAATTTCATTTCTTTTTAAGGCTGAATAATATTCCATTGTATTTATATGCCACATTTCATTTATCCATTTATCCATCAATAGGCATTTGGGTTCTTTCCACCTTTTAGCTGTTGTGACTAATGCTGCTGTGAACGTGGCATACAGCTATCTGTGGAGTCCCTGCTCTCGCTTCTTTTGGGTGTATACCTAGAAGTGGAATTGCTGATCGCATGCTAATCCTACGTTTAATTTTTTGAAGAACTGCTGTACTGTTTCCCACAAGAACTGCACCATTTTACATCCCACCAGCCACACGCAAGGGTTCCCTTTTCTCAACATCCTTGCCAACACTTGTTGTCTTTTATTTTCTTGATAATTGCCATCCTGACAGATGTGAGGTGATATCTGATTATGGTCTTCATTTGCATTTCCCTGCAGATAAGTGACATTGAGCATTTTTTCATATACCTGTTGGTAAGGATTTCTCTTATATCACTTTGCTGCTTTCCTTCCTGTTTGTGGTGTTCCTTCTTAGCTTCCTTCTGGATTTCTCTTATTATTCTACCTAGTGTTAAACATTGTTGCTTTCCAAGATTCCATCCCTGGTCCCTTGCTTCAGCTACTTCCCTATATACTGGTGGGTCTTCCAGATCTCTCCCGAGTCTTGGCCCATATGCCCAATAACCTATTGAACACATCAAACTAAAATATCCCATCAGCCTTTCCTTAATATCTTTCTTATCCTAGTCTCAACCCCTTGGTTTGGATTTTTCTTATCATTTACCATTATCATTACAGCTTATGCCTCAGTGCAAAACAGAAATGTGAACCATATTGAATTACACTTATTTAATTGCATGTGTATCTTTTTTTTCCACTACAACACGGGCACATTGAAAATAGGACTGACTTCTCCCCACCACCAACCACACACACACACAGTTTTTAAATATCTCTTATCCTAAAACTCTATATAGTATCTGGCTTCTAGGAGAAACCCAATAAATGTTTATGGAATTAATCATAAACAGTAAAGGAACTTAAAAGTTAACACATTAATATTGAGTTCCCTAAAGGCAAAGACTGTTTCTTATTCATCAGTATCTTCTAAGTGTCTGGCATGAAAATAGTGGTTAATAGATGTTTGGTAAATTTAGTTAACCGACTTTTTCCTTCAATAGTGTTACTTTTAAGGCTTCAAAGTCTTAGGATGATTATTCTGGAAGACATGTAAGATGGCTTAGAGATGGAGTGAGCAGGAGTAGGCTCTTGCTACATAACCCAGGTAAGAAGTACAGGACCCTGAGTAGCAAGATGAATGGGAGTGACGCTGCGAATAGAAACTGAACATGGCAACAGCTTAGACAGCGGGTAGAAGAGAAGAAGGAGACCAGGACAACAGATGTCTTAGACTCCATAGTTGCCAGTCTTGTTTTTAAAAATGGACTAAAACCGGTAAATAAATAACTCACCCATTTCCCTATATACTTAAGATCAAAAAAGTAAAAAATGTAAAGTGAAAACATATATTTTCTGATAGTTTCTCTTTAGATATCCCCTTCCATCGTTTTTTTCCTCTCATAATTCATCTCCCATCACCTAGCCACTTCCATTCATCCTTGTGATTCAGCCCAGGCTGGGTTTCTTCCAGGGAGCACTTTACAATCTCACTTGAAGCAGTGTGCTCCCACTTTATCATATCTTTTTCATGGCACATTGAATGTATCCTTAGAGCTCTAAAGCTCCCATTAAACTCTGAGTTCCTTGAGGGCACAGACCATGTCACTTACCTCTGTTTCCAGCACCTGACACAGGTCTTGTCACATACATGTTTTTTTAATAAAAATGATAGATAGAGCTTAATCAGTTAAAATCCAAATATATCATATATATGAGAATAGTCTTCTTTATTATTTGTGAATAATGGAAGCCTAAAAGGGTATGAAATTATACCTAGATTTCATTAATTCTATATTCCTATTTCAGAAGTGAAAGAAATATCAGCTTTTTATTGCAAGTGGTCCTCTAACTGACTTGAAAACCAAGAACTGATTTTCCTACGGCCGGCCTGGAAAGTTCTCTCATGAAGAGAACTAAGTACAGCTTGCCCCATGGCATGATACCCTCCACTGCCGAAGAAAAACTGAAGACAATTTGATCTTCTTTTGAGAGGAGAAAAACCAGTTGCCTGAGCATTACTTTCTTTTTGTCCTCTGAGCTCTTTTTGTGGCCTGTGAGAGCTGAGAAAATTACTCTTTGAGAATTGGGCTTTAGAATGGTGTGTCGAGGGTCATAGTATGAGGGGAGAATGTGTAATTGGAAAACAAATTTCTGACTTATTGAGTCAGATAATTTCCCAAAGGCCTTTTTAAAGGTTCCCTTACAAAAGGAAAAGGGAAAAGTATTTGAAGTTTTTATTCTTGGCTTTCAGCATGAGAAGTCTTTGTTCCATTTTACCAGTTGTTTTTTGGCCCCAAAGGATGTAGCTTTGAATTCTTAGGTTCTTTAATGGAAGACTGAAGTAAGACACCTGTTCCTCTTTAATTAGCTTTTTTTTTATTGATTGATAAGATATTTTACACAAGCTGTTAATTCTCTGTGATGATAAAAGAGCAGTTTAATCCTCCCTTTAATTTCCTAGGAATAAAGTATAAGCCAGAAAAAGTCCTTGGTTCCCTGAGTCTGAAGTGCAGGGTGGCATGCTTGGATTAGTCTGGCAAAGTGGCAGTGAGCCTGCTGAATTCTGACCTCAGCCCGCAGCTCTGGTAGGCGGGATATGGAAAGAAGAAGTGGTCTCCCCGTGAGAGGAAAGGGCACATGGCACCTTTGTAGGGAGGCCAGGTTTCAGTTAAGAAAGGACCTAAAGGGTGCATTAAATGAAAAGATTGTTACCATGGAACAGAGTCTAAACAGTTGTATCTCAGTTAATATTTTTCAAAGCTTTTGCTATACCTCTTACTATACAGTTTTTCCTTTTACTGTATCTCTCTCTTTGAGATTGATTTAATCATTGAAGAAACATTTATTGGGCACCTGTTAGATGCCAACATGGTGCTGGATATCAGGGTGTACTGTGGTAAATATGTACATTCTTGAAATCTAGACAGGGTACGTAGTAATCATGTTAGGTGTATATTAGAGTTCTGTGGAATATTTGGGAATAGGTGGATTTGGGAGTTCTTTAGGGCAGTTGTAGAGCCTATGCAGGTAGAACTTAGCCTGTTCGTTAAATTAAAGAAAGGAGAAAATTGGTCCAAATAGCAATCTTTTTTGTAGATGTCAAAAATTTCCTGTCATAGTCTTTCATTATAGTAGCATGATGAGATCCCTACAATGTGAAAGGGAATTCTCAACTTCCAGATCATTCTAATTTTGGAACTAGGATAATATATCCATATTTACCTTTTTTGTTCAGTAGTTATTTATTCACTTATTTAGCGTATTTTTACCAAGTGTGTCAGCAGTGTAGTACATACTAAGAATATAACAGAAAGCAACATAGATGGAGTCCTTGATCTCGTGGAGTTTACATTCTATAAAAATAGTCATTATAGAGAACTTACTCTGTGCCAGGCACTGTGCTAGGTCCATATATTACCTGTAACCCGCTGACAACCCCACTAGGTACAGGATAATAGCCAGTTTTGTAGATGAGGAAATCAAGACTCAGTAAGGTTGGAATTAGCTAACCTCAGCTTTCTCAGTGGAAGGCTGGTGTGAAGCGCATGCAGCCCTTACTGCCTTCCAACACGCGCCGAAGGCTCCCCTGTGAGGCGGGGCTCGTGCCAGGTATCACTGTGGGAGTGGAAGAGAAATGAAGCCCGATTTTCAGGGGACTGACAGTTTATTTTGTCACGGAATTAACACTAAAACTGCAATCAAAAATTAAGTAAAGGAAAAGAAAAATTTACATTTAAAAAATTCAAATAGCTAATAAATAAATGAAAAACACTCAGTTTCACTTGCAAACAAGAAATGAAAATTAAAATAATGAGATACTATTGTAACCTATTAAAGTGTATTTTTTGATGGAAATATTTAATGTATGGGTGAAGTGCTCTCTCGAGTACTGCTGTCAGAGGCATGTGTTTTGAACATCCATTCTGGAAAACAGTCTTTATCAAGAGCCTTAAAACGTGTATACCTTTTCACTATGCCATTACATTTCCAGGTGTCTACTGTAAAGAAATAGCTAGAAAGTCAGATCACATTTTCAAAAATGTTTGTCACGTTGTTTGTATTAGGGAAAATTTGAAAATAAATTAAGGCCAATCTAGATGACATAATGTTATACAGCCATTAAAACATGTTATTTTGTATTTAATTTGATGATATGGAAACTGTTTCCAAGAAATATTAAATTTGAAAAAACAATGTTAACCTTTCTATGTGATACCACAATTGTGTAAAAGATAGGTATCTGTATGCATATATAAATAAATTCAGAATACATTAATAAACTGGAAAGAAAGAAAATTATTGAGATTGGTTATTTCTAGGTAGTTATGTAGAGGTGATCTATATTGTAACTTCATGTATTTTCCAGACTCTCTAAAACGAGCCTCTATTACATTTATGATTTTTTACAAAGAAATAATAATTTTGTTTTTACCTTCTTTGTTTGACCCCTACATGTGGAATAGAAATTGAGGTAGGACAGAGGTTGTCAAGAGGCGATTCCAATCCAATTTTCAGGACTCTTCTTAAAGAACTGAAAACATATTTATTTTCCTAATTAAACAATTATAAAAGCAAGGAGCATATTATTTCTTTGATTCATTTTATATTTAAAAGTTAATATGAGACATCAAATTTATATAATTTGTAAGTTCTAAGTCTCTTTTGGTTATTCCATTTCAGAACACACCGTTATAACAGTAGTACTTATTTCTTTACAGGTTTTACAGCTGCCTACAACATGCTTTGGAAAGAGAAGCTATTACTAACTCACATCCCAGAGAGAAAATCAGAGGGGAAGAGAACTCATCATATTCTCCTAAGAAAAAAAGAAACCCAGAAAAAGCACGTGGCAAATGTATTACTGAAGAAAATGATAAAGAACTTGAAAATGATGATGACGATGATCCAGGAATCAGTGTTCCTTTCTTCCCTGAAGATTACTAAGATTTGGTTCTGAAGTGTCTTGGTAGAATAATGTTTCTAATAGATATTCTAAAGCTGCTCTTTATAAGAGTATTTTAGTTTGTTGATGTATGAGACATTCAGAAAAGCAAGATTTAATTTTCTCTATATTTTAGAGAAACCCATCTTATAAACATAGATGCCTTTTTAAAATAGCTTTGTATAGGGACCAGCCCGGTGGCATAGTGGTTAAGTTTGCGTGCTCTGTTTCAGTGGCGCGGGGTTTGCAGGTTCGGATCCTGGGTGTGGACCTGCTCATCAAGCCAAGCTGTGGCTGCATCCCACATACAAAATGGAAGAAAATTGGCACAGATGTTAGCTCAGGGACAATTTTCCTCCAGCAAAAAGAGGAAAATTGGCAACAGATGTTAGTTCAGGGACAATCTTCCTCACGCACAAAAAAAGATAAAATAGCTGTGTATAATGTTTGCTCATTAAATACCATCTTTTAGTCACATAGAGATTCATTACAAAAATAAGATTTTTAATGTCTCTCTTTTTTTTAAGTTTCAATTTCTACTTCTACAGAACTAGAGAACTATAATGCCCTTTCAAGAGAACCTTAACACTAGGAATATTTGAATAAAAATCATAGTAATGTCTTATTTATTTTTTGAAATCTCCACCCTTTAAAAGGGAATCAGAGTTTGCTTCTTGTTGCCATGGAGTCCAATGATAAGTTTTTTCCTCTCTTTAATGGAAAAAAATTAACTGTTACCCTTTCTGTTCAGGACAAGATACCTGAACTATCCTCTGTTGTTCCTCACAGACCTGAGCTCCCCACTGTAGTCTCTGAAACAGGTGGGCATGGTTTGTTGCTGACCCTGATAAGAAGTGATAAGTTAAAACTCAGGAATCTTAATAGAACATGCTATGGAAACTTGCAAGGAATCAGAAGTCTTGAGTTTCGAGTTCTAACTGCTGCACAGGAGTTGGGGGTCCTTGAGCAAATCACTTACTTTCCAAGGGCTTCCACTTTCTCATCTGCATAATCGTAATTCTAATACTTGCTATATTTATACCTTAGGATCAAGTTAAATAAAAATGTGAAGGCAGTTAGTAGACTTTTGCATGTATGCTACTATGTACTGTCCTGTTTATTTTCGTTATATACTGAAGATACTTTCACATCGTATTTTCAGGATGTAGCAAATCATAAAAAATATGCATTTAAAAGGAAATTCCTAGTCATAGAACTAAAATTATAAAAATACCTGAACATAAAAATTATATAAGATAGTAAACATTGAGTTGAGATTTTGGCATTTCCTAATATTTTAGAAATTTAAGTCTATATAAATTAGATCTGCATCTCAGATGCTTACCTTCTAACATTTTGTATTCTCATTTTTTAAATATATTGACTTCAGAGACATCTATTAGCCTCTAAATAAAATCATAAAAGATACTGTCCAGACAGCTCTAGAGTTAACTGTGAGATTTTTTCTTTACTCCTTTTTTCTATCACAACTGAGCTCTCTTTTGGCCTTTAAAACGAGATACGAATATTTACTTTCCTAATTTCTCTTAGTATTCCCAGCCCATTTAGGAAGTCTTAACACAGTCCTCTGCTTGGCTGTTTCAGAAAGACCCCCCACGGAGCCCTCAGTCCCCTCGCAGTCCTGCAGCACTGGGCTCTGGCGACCCCTCACATCCGACGGCTCTGCCCTTTCCTGGTGTCCTGAACACTGTCTTCTAAGTTATTTCCCTGTTAATGGTGAATCCTTCTGGATTCTTTTTCTTTCCAGTCCTTTCAGTTTCGACATTTACGGCACCTTAGAATCATGTTTAGAACTTCGAAAAAATCTCCAGGGCATGTATGTTTTTGTAAAAGCTCCCAAGTTCTCTAGTTGCAAACCAAAGAGTGATAACGCTGTAGGCATTGCCAGGTGTCTGTCTTTGGCCCTCATCTTGCACTCTTCTCTTCACCCTTGCCATCTCATCCATCCAGCGGCCCTAACCTCTGAGCCAGTTTCTCCCAATTCTCCTGTCCCACCCTGTCTCTTACGCTCCCGTTAACTGCTGGGCCTCTCCTGTAGGGCTGTTCCTTTCTAAACGTTTTCTCTTTCGTTAGACTGTTCCTTTCCTGGTTCTTTGGCTAGAAAGAGCAGGCTTTTGTTGGGACTTTTTTTTTGTCTGCCCCCATTGGCATTTCTGGGTTGCTGGCTTTTCCAGTGCTGAGTCTGGGATACGTGAGGTAAAAAGAAAACCTAGGGAGCTCACCCCTGTGTTGTTGTTTAGGTCCCCAAATCTTTAGGGGGTCCACCTTCCCCTCTTGACCTTTCAGAGTCTTCTAATGTTTGTTTTATATACACTGTCCAGAGTCTTTAGCTGCACTTAGTGGAAGGAATGGGAAAAAGTATATCTACTCCATCTTCCCCAAATCAGAAGTCTAGTGTATTTTTAAAATTATTGATAATATCACATTGTGGGGGTGTCCAGGACACCCTTGGAACCCATCCAAATAGCCACAGACCCTTAATTTAGTGCTGCACCCCATCTCCCGGCTTACTTGGTTTGCTGCTCTTGCTTTAGGCTTCTGGAGCCTCTCCACCCTAAAACAGAGGGAAAAGCCTGGACGTCTGTTTCTTCTCTTCCCCAGTCCCCATCAACACATACACACCCACTGTCTCATAGCCAATAATGACAAGTGCAGAGCTTCAAAAGACAACTCTGTTGCCCAGAAATGGGATAAACTTGGACGTGCAATTGCCATTTCAGCTCCCAGCAGCATCAGGCTGAGGCTGACTCCACCTGAATCCTATCATATTTTTCCCACTCCCTTGCCGTTTCTCCCGGGAGCGCCTGCTTAATCAATCACTTGCACTAGAATGGTGTCTTCATCTGCAGGAACCTGACCTAAGGTACTGAGATTACTTTGCATATATTTAAAAAGTGATGGCATACATTTATTATAGGGCTGATGTTTTAATATGCTAAAAATTATATCATTGGTAGTGATTTAAACATGATATAAATGATGCAGATAAATTTATGATGTTAAGTACATAGTTTTGAAAATTCTTCTGGGGGAGTAGCTAACCAACACTTGTTGAGGATCACTTCTATAACACATACTGTTAGAAGAACCCAGAAGCGGGGATAATTAATTCTGGGTGAGGGAGTACTAGAAGTCCAATTCAAGGGAATATCATTTCATTTAGGTCTTAAAGGACAAGAAACAAGTTCACTTGACAAAAAAATCCAAGAAAAGCTCTTGGAGACAGAGGGAATGTGTAATGCAACTGAAGCACCCAAGAGCATGATATATTCAGTGACGGCAACTATTCCAGAAAAGCTGAGATACAACATATGGTACGAAATGAGTCAAGCTGTGAAGTGAAGCCCAATTGTGAAAGGCTTTGTAGTCCAGCATGGAGGTGGACGAGCGTTTCCTACACGTGGCTGTGCATAAGAATTAGCCAGTCTAGGGCGGGGCATGGGCGCTGCTTTCTCAGACACCGACGCCCAGGCCTTCCTCTAGATCTCTCAAGCCAGAATCTTCAATCTGGAGTCTGGAAATCTTTATTTTTTAACCAACTCATTCAAGTGATTCTGATAAAATCAGCCCAGCACTTTTAGACTCCAGTGGTAACAGACTTCATCCTGAAGGCATTGGAAAGGAATTGAGGGGTTTTAGTAAAGAAGAAGAAAAGTGAGATGATCAGATGTTGCAATGTACCTGTGTCACAGATTCTGTATCTGCACATTATAGGAGGGTAAGCAGGAGCTTCTACTGCATCAATTAATTCCCTGTCCTTATCCTTAGGTCTAAGGCAGGTGCCAGGAGGCATGGCAACATGTACAGCTGTGGGAATTGCACTCTGTATGGCTCCAGGAGGGGACATTCCCATTCATGACAATATGAGTGGCACAGGGCACTCACAGAAGTTGTGCAGTGCACATTCTTAGATCCTAACATATACAGCAGTCCTGCCAAAAGGGAATTTGGGCAGGAAAGAAATCTTACAGTGTCAGAAGGTCTGGACCATTTCTTCTAATTTAATGAATAAAATATGGAAATATCTGCCAGGCGGATAGATGGAAAGAGAAGAGAAACAATTTAAAACTAAGTCCTAAATACATAAGCCCCTGTAGGAAAAGGGGTGGGGGGTCAGTGTTTGGGGAAGAGAGCCCTGTGGTGGCATGATTGTGTATTCTGCTGTTTAAAAATATCTCTAAAGCACTCATAATCCGTTGGCTTTCTTTCGCTCATTTAAACTGATCCCCCAGGGATCTATGTATTCCAAAGACTCTATAAACTGAGAACATGCATGAGAATCTGGAAGAGAGGGGCTGCCTCCTGATCCCTTTCTCTAAGATAGCGACAGGAC